TGCTTAAACTTAAACACATGCTTAAATACTTTATAGAAGGGGAGAAATCTCAACACGTGGCAAGACTGAGTTTCAGAGATCCTTTAGACCTTTTCTTGCCTCATTTGCTATTTGCTTGCCCTAGCCCTGCTCCAGCCTCTTTCTTGCCTTGTGCCATCTCCTTTCTGATGACCCATCCTTTATAATTTTCTACATCGCCTCCTCTCCTTGTGCCTTTGCATTCCCCACTAACAGTCTGAGCCTGTGGTAATCGTCAGTGGACATGAACATGTCTCTTTTTGTGCTGCTAGAGGACAACTCGCTGAATTTTACAGCATACCGCCTTTTCTGAACTTCAAGGCCGTGCAAAAGTTAATAGAATTAAATTCTCAACATGTGAAGACATTTGCAGAGTTCGATTTTTGTGGGTAAATTTTGAACCCGTGAACTTCAAGTGAGTTGAAAATTTATTCAGAACACGTTCTCCCATCTCTAGCACAGACTACATTTAATATTATACACATCTGTTATTATTACAAACAAAAAGTTGCTGTTTTTACTCTAGTGCCAAATGAGGCACAAAAAAAACAACAGCTGTTGCTATTGCACAACTAAACAACCCCCTTCCCCCCCACAATTAGTCTTGCCTTAAAAAAATAGAAAATAAAAACCTCAGACATAAAATTGAAAACCTCATAAAAAAGAAGAAAAATCCCAGAAAATAAATAGACTCAAATGTGGTCTGCTTATAAATATTCATAGGGAAAAATGGAATCACATCACTTAGCCCACTCCTAAGGGAACCCTCAATGCTAACGAACTCTTGCAGCACATGTTAGCAATAATGGGTTTCCTTATTCTACAAGACAAAAACAGGATCTTGGGCCAACATGGTGGCTCAAGTAACCAGCCTCAGCAGGCTGCCTTGGAGATTCCAATTTCACTTGAATTCTTGCCACTTCCAGCCAGGCTGATGATTTCAACTCCTTTATTTAAATGGAGAGGTAAGGCTGTGTGGTGTGTGACATTCAGCTGCACGTCTTCGATTAGTGCAAAGAAGTCTTGTCTTTAACGATTCCTTCTTTAATGTTTTTTTTTGTCCTAGCAGGTGCTTAGTAGGTCTCCCTGTGGCAGTCTGGTCCTCAGCTGTTCTCTTTGCTCTAGGGCCTGGTGGTCACACAGACATGTAAGCGTTGCCCTTACTGTCAGAGAAACTCTGATCCAGCCCTTTTCTCAAGTCCAGCTGTGCCTCAAGTCTGTTCACATGCAGCTGCACATTCAAAGACAAGCTTACGCTAAACCTTTATACCCTGCAGATGATGAGCCTGCGCGCACTCATCACCAAATTCTCAGTCATGCGATTTGGGTACATCAAGCACAAGTGGGATGGAGCAAACTCCACTCCAGTCTGCCGGGAGATATTTGGAGTTTCTTCCACCCAGTTCACGTTGCTGAAGCTCGGCAGCACTGTAGGCAGAGAGCAAGGCAGACAGCAACAAGACTTGCTGTCTATGCCCACTTGCCTGCTCTCTCCATAGATCTGCTGCCTATTTTTTTCTGTTTTCATGAGATTTTCCACTCTGTTGATTGAGCAGAATAGCAGAGCTCTGTTTGCTTGCTCTTGCTGGCTGCTCCTTGCTCACCTGCTTGGTAGGGAGCAGAAGCAGTGGTCCCATAAAGGGGACTTTCTCTGTGTTCTACTACTGTTGGAGCCAAGGGTGGGTGCTGAGGAGCAGCACAGATCCATATACCTCTTCCTTCTCTGTATGGGAATGCAGGTGAGCTCCAACATCATCATCTGCCCGAACTAGATCTCTAACAGTGTAGGAAAAATGAATAATTTGGGGGGCAGTGTGAGGGTGGATGTGGAGCAGAGGATGTGCGTGGGAAATGTATTATATATATTTTGGGAGTGGGGGGAAGGGTAGCAATCTTGTTAACCCAATGACTAGTCTGCTTAAGATATCCGTGAACACGAGTCCAAAATTCTCTCACACTCGTTCAAAAGCAAAAAGTGGTTACAGAGAACCCTTTTAGTATTTCATTTCTTATAAGACTGCCAGGAAGCTCTTTGAATAGTTCTGTCTGTTTTTAGCACCTGATATTTGAAGCTGTAACCAGGTCACTGAGTTCAAACACAACTTGAACTATTTTCAAAGGCTTACAACATAACATGGCCATTGCTCTAAGAACCCTTTCATTAAATCAGCCTGTCTTTCTCCCAATTAGGGTAAAATCCTGAACAGAAAAGGATGCTGTCCTATTTGCACTGAAAGTAAGTTGTCTCTTCACATTCTTTAAGTTCTTTTTTATTGTCAGAGAAAATAAATAGAAGTATGTTTGTTTGTCTGCCTTCTTTTTAGAAGTGACTGAAGAGCAAGTGATTATTGCTGGCCACAGATTTTGCCGCCTATAAATCTGTAGATTTAAAATAAATGCTGTTTTTTATTTTATTTTTTCCAAATGACACTATTGTTGTCAAATCTGAGGTGCTGCTTTTTGAAGGATATAGTTGGCCTGTGAAATTTGTAGGTAATAAAATAAGCAAATGAATAGAGTTGTAATTTTTAGGACGGGGTACCTTTTATACCTGTAAATAACAGCTCAGCTATTTGTATATATAATCCAAAACCTTTGCAGATGATTAATGAAAGTTAAAAAAAAGGTGTACAGAAATCTGTGACACAGTCTGGGGCAGCAGTGGGAAGTATGATAGAAAGCTATCCGTCTGTCTGCATTATGTTTAGCTCAACCACCACCTTTTTATCCATTTACTCTTCACTTCTGGAATTATCATCTTACGATATCACTTGTGTTCTCTCCTAGTCAGCAAAGCTCTTACACAAATACTTATCTTTAAGCTTATCCTATTTGAGTCAACGGGGAGACCTGTCTTCACTGAAGTTAACAGGATGCAATTATGTATTTCCTTCAGGACATGTTTAAGTACTTTACCAAATAGGGGCAGACTGCTAAAATGGAGTTTTGTGATTTATAAGAAAGCTTCTGAAAGAAAGAACAGGTTTTTAAGGAGAGTGTTTCCTATTCTTTTGTTTAAAATCAAATTGGTTTCACTGGTCAACTCAGTTCTGAGCACTCCTGGATTGCACAATTTCCATACGTTGAGTACCTGATTTTCCATTCTGCAGCTCAATTATTTTGAAACATGTAACTTGTGATAAAATCTAGTTTGCAAGTCTTCTGTATAAAAATGAAATTAAATGTTAAGGAGAAACTTCAGAAATACTTGGAATAATACTGAACAGAGAGAAATGAAGGGGAATTCAACTGACCAGCCACTGATTTCACGCTAGCTCAGATTCAGGGGAGAAGAAATCTGCATAAACCTCTGCTGAAATATGACATGTCATTAATGTCATGAATTTATTGGTCTCTATCTTGCCTCTATTCTTAGGTTGAATGAGACTGAAACATTTCATATGTGTTTTTTGTAACATGAGAAGTGGAGGGAAAATAAAGGGGCTAGCCATTCCCTCAAAGCACTGGAGAACCTCTACTATAAGGGGTTAAGAAGAAGACTGTACAGTGACTAGTTAAGAAATGCTGCCAGAGAATGATGCCTTGTAATAATTGTTTCATGAGAGAAGGAGGCAAGAAATAGGTTTCTTCAAAGTAAAAATAACTCCTCTAGGATCCAGGTTACCTAAAAAGTCGGAACTTCGTGATGATAGAAGGCGGTGGTAGTCATGACTGTAAGATGTGAAGTCAAGGGCAGACTCGATTGGTTGTACTCTTGCCATTCAGATCTGTAGAAAGCCTGGCTCTGTCCTCCCAGTAACTTCCTTGTAGGTACTGGAGGACTGCTCTTAGGTGTCCCTGAAGCCTTCAGGACAAACCACCTTGTTCCCTCAGCCTCTTCTTTCAGTTCTGTCTACACTGAACTGGCTGTATGTGAGGCTGGGAGCTCTTTGCCCTGTCCCTCTGTTGCACAGAAACAGGTGTGTCCTTTTTTTTAGAGATGTCTCACTATGGACCAATTTTTAATATATGGAGGAGAGCTGATGCTGAGCTGATTCTAAGTTTTAATTATTAAAAGGCAATTCCCAGCTTTTATCAGGTAATGTAATTAGAGAGCTTAAATATCCGCTGTCATACAGCTGTGGTGGCTACCACTACCTGTTTTAACATCAGCGTTTTAGCAGTTGCCTTTTGCAAGACACTAATTCCACCTTTGTGCCAGAAATGCTGTAAATCTCATCACAACTTAAGACAGGCAAAAGGCATGAGGATTTCAGTGGTGATGGCTATCTCAGATAGTAATTAGAAACTTTGCTAATTCAGCCAATTTCTGATGAGATAAGATGCGCATGCACAACCCTTTCCCTCACCCACCCACTCATGTTGATCCTCTCTCCACATATTAACACACCAGACATTTCTGGCAATATTAATTTTCCAAAGTAAAAACAACACAGGAGGTACAAGAACATACTGTACACAGGAGAGCTTTGAGTACTGTTTAAATGCAGCCAATTTCTATGAAGTGGGTCAAAAACAGTCACGTTGTTAAAGGATACACTTTAAACTGAAAAAAAATAATAACCAAAGGATTATTTTCAAAGTGGTTTGTTGCAGAGAGAAAAAGTACCTCATCTCCTAAAGGGCTGGAGAGTCTCTTTTGTCTACTGTTGCCGAAGTTAACTGGTTGGTTTTGGCATGTTGCTGTTTAAGCTCCATGGCCGGTGTACAGTTATCACTAATTAAACACAGTGGTCATAGCAGTGGAAAATTCAAGAGTTTAGTTTATGCTGCTGTAAAAATGTAATGAAATATACTCTTTTGGGCTTGATCTAGAAAAATCACCACTGACGTCAATTCCATAAATTAGTAATCCTATGTTAGACCAAGGTCATTTTCATATTGGCTTGAGAGCAGCCCTGAGGAAAAGGACTTGGGCGTACTGGTGGATGAGAAGCTCGACATGAGCCATCAGTGTGCACTTGCAGCCCAGAAAGCCAGTCGTGTCCTGGGCTGCATCGAGAGGTGTGTGGCCAGCAGGTCAACGGAGGTGATTCTCCCAGCGGAGGTGATTCCCCCCCTCCTCTCCACTCTCAGGAGACCTCACCTGGAGTACTGCATCCAGTTCTGGAGCCTACAGCAAAAGAAAGATTTGGACATGCTGGAGCGTGTCCAGAGAAGGGCCACAGGGATGATGCTGGAGCACCTCTCCTGTGAAGACAGACTGAGAGAGTTGGGATTGTTCAGTCTGCATAAAAGAAGACTCCGAGGAGACCTTATTGTGGCCTTTCAGTATCTCAAGGGGGCCTACAAGAAAGCTGGTGAGGGGCTTTTTAGGATGTCGGATAGTGATAGGACTAGTGGGAATGGATTTAAGCTAGAGATGGATCATTTTAGATTGGATGTCAGGGAGAAGTTCTTCACCCTGAGGGTGGTGAGACACTGGAACAGGTTGCCCAGAGAGTTGGTGGAAGCCCCATCCCTGGAAGTTTTTAAGGCCAGGCTGGATGGGGCTCTGGGCAACATGGTCTAGTGGAGGATGTCCCTGCCCAAGGCAGGGGGGTTGGAACTATGTGATCTTTAAGGTCCCTTCCAACCCTGACAATTCTATGATTCTATATGATTCTATGATTCTGTATTAAAAAAATAAAACTCTGAACCTGGGCTTGAATAACAGACTGCTGTCAACTTCAGACAGGGATGGCAATTTGCACTGGAAGTTAAATCTTTGTTCTTGGCAAAGAAGAATTGACAGACCTTGCTGAAAATACAGCATACAGTGTGAAAGCTTCCTACTGCAACCACATGGATATATTTTAACCGCAATCAATAATCCTAACACAGTCTTACTCCAGTCATTGATGAGACTTTATGGATGAAATTTTTTCAAAGTGGAGTGCAGTCATCTAAGTCTAGCAGTACACATGATTAATTTTGCAGTAAAGACCTCTCTTGGGGCAGAATAGTTTGTTCATCACAAATCATTCTGCAGCTATTTTATTTGACAAAATGACTAATGGAGCTAAACCAAACTCAAGGGCATTTGGAGCCAGTCTTAGGACAAGGTTAGTCCTTTCTCCCAGTCCTGCATCTTTTTAATGCATTTTTACAGCACTTACAAAAAGTGCTGACTTCAAAGAAGAAGAAGAAAAAAAAAGTGGAGTTATGCACTGTAGGTATCTGTGAGAGCAAGGAGAGGGACTAAAGGACCACATAGGCCCCTACTGGACCTGTTCCTTATGTTATTTCCCTGCCATGGAGAAATACATGACAAAAAGACTGCGGAATGCTGTTCATGATTTACTTCCTTTAGCCATTTCAGCTGTGATGGTCTACTGTATAAATATATATTTGGACAAATTGGAATAGCTATTTTATTTATGAAATAGACCATAAAGACTCCTGTGGAGTTTTTGACACCACACCTTGTAGTGTGTATTGTATCAAGCTGCACTATGCAGCAGTTATGAGGAAAGTGCTCTATGGCTATGCACTTTTTATAGAAAAGCTAATGAAATTATATTACGCGTGTTCTGTAGCTAGTTTTCAAAAGTTAATAATGTATTCTGTTTGATTTAGGGCTTAATTCAGCATATGGGCTAATCGCATTCAAAGTTTTCATTTTATTTTTAAAAAGCTGAGATATTTTTGAATTATAGATGTTCAACCAGAACACCCTTAACTGGTAAACTTGTATTTTTTCCTCCCTCTCCTTACTTAGAAAGTGTCCAAACCAATTTAAGTTATAATTTAAAGTATATTTTTCTTGGCCACTCTTAACTAGCTACAAGCCCAGAAGAGTGTGACCAGACATCTGGACATCTTGGACTTCAATTGACTGCTCTGATCTCCTGAAAAAAATAAAACAAGATATTCCATGAGCACCAGAGCTAACAGAGCCTGGTTTCCTATGGATTTGTATCCCATTTCCTTTATATCCCAACAAATAATAAACCCAGCTAGAGACAATATATCCTGTGGCTGCTCTGGAGCTACAAGTGTGCTAATTGCCCAGCCACTATGCTCATGCTCTCCGGCTGGTCAGGATGTGCGTGCTGACTGCCTGTCTGGCCTCCACCAAGCAGTATATATATCTTGCCTTTTTTCTGTCTGGAAGGGTGGAAGGCAGAAAGGTGCTTTTTGGCAACCATTAATTTTGAGAAGTGGTTCTTACCTTTACTCAGCATACTACTTACTAGAAATGAGTTGTCTTTCAGACTTTTATCCTGCTGTATCAGCCAAAACAGGTCATGTTTTCATAAACTTTTTTTTTTTCCTTGTGAGAGTATGTTAAAACTCAGGGAATGCTAAAATGTTCTTTTCCTTACTGTTGCTTTTTCAGCTTCATTCTTTATACAGATGTTTTCAAAACCAGTGCTTCTTGACCACAGTTACTTTCCCCATTACCTTTTTAATGAAAGTCACTGCTTCCTCTGAATTGGGCACATGGTTTGTAAATGCAAGGAAAGCATGCCAAGAGTTCCATGAATCACACATGTAGTTTGATTGTCAAATGTAAACGTGTGAGGTTGATACTTAGTTGCTTAAAAAGCAAATGTGAAAACTGCCAAGCTCACAAAAGCTTTTATGAAAGACAGAAGTTTTGAATATTGATTTGGGAGCCTAAATGCAGGATTTCCAAAGGAGGCTGAGGGGTGTTTGCAGCCAGCTCTCAATAATGTTTAATCAGAGTTGAGTTTCTAAGGCACTTTGAAAATCACAGCCTCTTGAACATAGCTCTGGGGCCCTCCTTTGAAAAAGCTGTGTTTATCAAGGATAGAGAGGACATGGGTATATTTGTCTTCATATGCATGTGCAGATGAGCAAAAGAGGAGATCAAAGATTATGAATGCCAGGTTAAAACCAAGAAAAGGCAGTGGTTCTTTAAGCACTTTGCCCAAGGGTGTCATGGATGCTAAAAACTTTTTTGGGTTTAAGGGGATATTGGACAAATTCACAGAAAATAAGTCTATCAGAGGTTTCTAAATAAAGAGAAACCATGTCTATCTCAGTTCCTAAGCTGAAAATAGTTTGAGGCTGGTGGAGTCTTAGGGGAAAGTGTTGTATATAATAGCCCTTTTTTTAACTCTACCCTAGACATCTGATAGAAGCAAGGAGTATCTGCAGTAAGCTAGGAACAATTTACTACAGGAAAAAATGGGAAGGATCTACACCCATGACCCTATGCCTTGTTAGAATAAGCTAGCAAAATTCATACTCCAGGATAGGGGAACATAGTTTTGGTGAAGGAGTAACACCTCTCTATCCGCTATGTCCCAAGTGAAGACCAAGTCACACATGACCCTAACTAGAGAACCGGTGCTTCCGATAGATTTCAAGAACAGCCAGGCAGAAAGACTGGTTTGTTTCGGAAGAGGAAAAAAGGCAGGAAAAAAATAGCAGCAGAATATAAAACATGATGTGAAACTCTCCCGAAAGGGAGTCAACAGCAACCCAAAACTTAAAAATGGCAGGAGCTCTTTTCATGTTGCCTGTCTTTTGCAGTCTTGTTACACCTGATGTTTAAAGTTTATTTCTAGGCCAGCCAGTTCTTTTTATTGCCAGTGCCTGAGTTATCACATATGCTCTTGCAGGGTGTGGATATTTTGATTTTTTTTTTTTAAACCCCGTGATTTTACCAAGTCTTTCAAGAATGTTTTACACAGTGATATCAGAGAATCAATTATTCAGGCTGTTTTTAGGTAGGTTTTCCCTCCTCCATTTCCTTGGTTATTAAAGAAAACAGCAAAATTTGGATTAGACATTCAGCTATCCAGTCCAAAATACATTCTTTTTTATTTTAACTGCACTGCATCAAGTTGACATATGATGTGACATGATGTAACATAACATAAAACAACATTATTCTGCATAACACGTTAGAAATTAAAAATAAATATTTTCTTTGGATCCCATTGGTACTATCAATTTTAGTTGCACATCTCTAAATTATGTTTGTTCCTCTCATGTCTTGCCTCTTAGCCACTTGCTTAGATGAAGAACCAGACTCCCTCTTCTGATACATGAGTTAATAACCAGTTTAACACGCCTATGTTCTTGGCCTCTAAAAATGCAGACAAAAAACTGTTCTCTCCTCTGAAATCCTCACTGATGCTTGGGCTGTTTTTTGTTGATAGTTTTCTCGTTTTCATAATAAAGTTGTTATTAAAGAAAAACTCAAGCCTGAAAAAATGAGATAGAACCTGAGAGGGTGGTAAAATGTATCTTAATATTAATTGTGCAGATAATTACATGAATACATAAGGAAATCAGAAACATGTTTGTATGATTTAATAACAGTAAAGTCAGACAGCCTCCGTATAAAATCTATGGATTTTTTTCCCATTGGTAAAAAAATACATTGGTAATTAAAGACTATATGGTTCCTGCCAATTTATGGAGAATCAATTAGTCTTTTAATGGACTTTAGGAAAGAGTTATTGATATCTTCATCAATGTCAGCGAGGAAGATGAGACTTGCAGAAGTGCACGTTTCTAAAAGGACTCTCTTATCTAAGTGTTTTGGTTGAAGTCCATCAAGCCTGGTTTCCAGCGATGTCGATCAAATGTGATTCATTTTGGTTTCTAACAGAGCTGTCAACATAACGTCCTTGAGAAGTCAAAACTTTTGGTCCCTAGTTGCCAGATATGATAAAGAGGCATGATAATGACACCAGGACTAGTTATTGGCACAGCTAAAGAAGTGTGTATGTGGCAAGTTAGGGGTAAAGTACAAATCTTCCAGGTACCAGCTCTGTGACGGCCCTGCACCATGCAGTGAGGGAGACAGAGGTTAGACTTTAGGCACAGATTACTCACAGTGAGGACAGCCGAGAACTGCAACAGGTTGCTGAAGGTGGCTGTAGAGTTGTGGTTACTACTGCTCTGTAAGAGCGGGTGAGATAAAAGTCTATCAGGAATAACATAGATACAGGCGATTCTGCATTACAGCTGGAGAAGGAAGAGGTGATGGTTCCTGGGGTCCCTTTCAGCCTCATTTTCCGTGTATCCGTGTAGGTATCCTTGGACGCTCTTTAACTACAGCTAGAAAAATATCATAAACGTTAGAGCTACTTTAGCATAGCACTCTGCCCAGGATGAAAACCCTGCTGAGAAAGGTGTGTTGCAGAGTCAGAGCTGCATTGTACTCCACCAAAGGAATTCCCTGTCTCTTCTCCATGACATCCATGTCGCTTTTGTTTTTATGGGTTTGAATTTGCCTTTTTTTAGCTGCCTTTTCAGGCAAGCCATTGTTTGTTGGGTAATTTTTTTTCCCCAGTAAATAGATTGTATTTCTTGTTACTCTCCCCTCCTTTGTTGGGCTTTGAATTTGTTTTTTTTTGACTGATGCTGTTCACAGCTCTGTGACTAGAGTCAAATCGTGTTACTGCAGCAAGCCCTCTCCCTAAAGCAGGCATCATCTTTCAAAGCCCATGGGTACCCAGCTGGCAGTAGCTGTGTGCATTTCCTTGCCTTGAGACTCCTTCTTCCAGGAACAGCAGCAATGTGATGTGGTTAGGCCCTATTGTTTTACCAGAAGGCTGTGATGCAAATAAATTTGCAGCTCTCTTTGATTGCAAGGCAATTCAATCAATTGCTGGGTAACACAGCATCAGTGATATGAGCCTGGAAATGTTCTGCCTTTGAGCTGCGGCTTCTCCGACCAGCGTATTGGCTGCAAACATCACTGAGGAATCTCCCTCTGTTGGTGGTGATGCAAATGATTGGTAGAGATACTATGCCCTTACTCATTGCATCATGTTAGTCACCTACTACTGACTTGTGGTTGGTAGCATGCTAGCAATAACTACTGCAGGTCAGTTGTATATAAACAACATATGAGATAGCTTGTAACAATGAATGGGATGCTAGTTCTACAAATACTTTTTTGGGAAAAATCCATAAATATACCTAGTTTATAAATGTACAGTTTTTATATGTGTCTGCCTAAAACACGAACAGAACAGGTCCTGCTAAAGTGTCTAATGGCTTTTAGTTTTGAGGCATCACCCCTGCCTAACTGGGGACATTAAAATTAGCCTCAAAAATATACACATGATGTTTTGACTTCTGCTTCTGTTGTTAGTGGATTAAACTTTGCTCCCACAACACAACTTAAGGGTGGAAGCTCATCATGGAGAAATGTAACTGTCTGAGAGGAATGCTTGTAGTCTTAGATGCTTGTTCACACTCCCAGAACTGGCAGCAGAGAGACTGGCTCCTTCAGAGGGTAATTCCTCGCATATCAAGAGAGATGTCTAAAGCTGGTGAGATGAAAAACTTTCTAGTCATGTCTATTTCTCTCTGTCAGTGAGAGAGAGACTGAATGAATTGCTTAGACTAGACTAGTTTGGAAAGCTGAAGCTAGGTGGGAAGACTCCCGTCACACATCTCCGGAGACATGTGGGCTCTGCCTGCTCTGATACCATGAGTGGGGCTTGTATTTTCTGGATAAAAATCCCAGGCATTGTAATAACCTAAACTCCTCAGGTGGTACATTACGTTTAAAGGACAAACACATAGGTTGGAAGATATATCTTTGGTTTCAAGGTACAGGTTAGCTTTCCTGTGCTGTCCCAAGAATCAATGGGCCTTTGGTACCCACCCACTTTGGGAAAGACTTCTACTAAAGCTATGAAGCTTCTGTTTTCCAAAAATATATATTCCTACTGGGCATGGGCCAAATCTGCCCCTGTAGGCTGGGTAGGTTAGGTGAGAGTGGCATCCTCTAAATTCTTATCAACTGCTTTTTTTCAAACTTGGATTGATCCTGATATGGTGCTTTTGTTTCTCACTCACCTGCAGAGCCTGGAGTTTGCACTGTGTTTGGAGACCCTCACTACAACACTTTTGATGGACGGACATTTAACTTTCAGGGAACATGTCAGTACGTTTTGACGAAAGACTGCTCCTCCTCTGCCTCACCCTTTCAGGTGCTGGTAAAAAACGATGCCCGTCGGACCCGTTCTTTCTCCTGGACAAAGTCAGTGGACCTTGTGTTGGGCAGAAGCACTATCAGCCTCCAGCAGCACCTCACAGTGAAGTGGAATGGGACCCGCATCTCACTACCTTGCGAGACGCCGCAATTTCAGATCGATTTGGATGGTTATTTGCTCAAAGTGACAACCAAAGCAGGTAGGGCAAGTGTGTGTGTGTGTGTGTGTGTGTCTTCTCCCTGAAGAACTTTTCGTGTGCAACATGAACAGCAGTCGGTAAAAAAGCATGATGGCAGGAATAAATGTGGTTATAACTCTTTAGAGATATGAGTAACCCAAAGTGCTTTCAAAATCCCTGCAGCCCACAAGCTGACAGGGATCACAGCTATGAGTTCAAAGTTTTTGCAGAACATTTGCTAAGCTACGTTTCATTCTCCAGCTGACAATTAACTGCGTGCATGAGTGAATGTGCCATGATTTTCACTTGCATTAACTTAAGATCTGCTTGTGCAGGGTCATTGTTTGATACTTATAGATAAGAACAGACAGAAGATCAGGTCTTACACATAATGTTATTTTTTTTTATCAAGTTGCAGCAATATACCTTACAGTTCAGGTCAGCAAGTATATAAAGTCATAGTTACTAATGGCTGGAATGAGTTCAAGTTGTCGAATTATGGAAACATTTCACTGGGTCTACCCAGCAAAATGGAGATCTGGGTTTGAAAACCAAAACTTAACTTGCTGTTGAGTGGTATCCTGTTGGGCTTGCTTCGTACTTGAGTAAGAGTTTCTCTGCGTGAAACAGAGAGTCTACAGCACCAGAAGGGAAAGGGAATCCGGAACTTCAGAGAATCTGGTGCCTTATTTGTAGAACCAGGGAAGGGAGATAGCAGACTTTCAGGTCTTTTGAGTCCTAGAAAATACATTAATTGTAAAAATGCTAAACCAGAGAACTTAAATTTGTTTTGATAAACTGTTCTGAAACTATAGTATCCTTGCATAGATAAATACTGAGGGGAAGTTTAAAACTTTCTCATTAGCATGTGTTAGGTACTACTGTACTCCTGAGAGATTTCACTCACACAGTGAAGCACTGTTTCAGTGAGAATACTATTTACTGTTAATTCAATTAAATACCATGTGAAAGTAGTGAAACCAATCTTTATTATGGAGTGATATGGTCACAGGCGTGACGCATAGTCATACTCGTTATCTAGCATCATTTTTTTTTCAAGGGGGACACTAGCACCCACTGTTAAGCTGAGAATTTAGACACCTGTTCATATAGCCCCTGGAAATGTAAGTCTGCATAATGTGGATCCCAGCTCTGGGCTCATTCCTCAAAGTGGCAATGCAGATTTTTGTGGCTGTCTGTAAAATGCACACAAGTTGACCGTTATTCACAACTTCTAATTAAAAGCATCTTGAGGGTTTCTCTTTGCAGCCAACTGAATGCTATGAATTCTGGCGATGTGGATTTCATTAGCCAACCACAGGCCAAGGAAAGGTTTCCAATCGAAGATGAATGACAGCTAATCCTGCTGTTATCCTATTTGTCTCTGGTGCAAGCCCAGTAAATGACTATACACATCCTTGTCCATGTGTTGGCAGAGGGAGTGCAAAAATGGCATATGACAACATACCAAACAGTGTGTAATCACTGCAAATTATAGCCTAAATAATTCCTCTCCTTAACGGAGCAGGATCAGGTTTCTCTTGCTGAATGCAACACGATGGGCCAAGTCCTCCTTTCCTCAACATGTAAGACCTGGAAAGCAGCAGAACAGCATGGCTCCATTTTTCTGGGAGAGGACGAGCAACAGAGAGGCTGCAGAGAGGAGGAATGTGCTGAGTGGAACTGATTTAAAGACAAACCTTTTGTTTCGCAGAAAATTCCTAGTACCGGAGGGGAAAAAAATAATAAGTAAAAATTTGAGAATTTTCTCTGTTTCAGAATGAAACATGGATTTTTAAAATAAATGCATGCTTTCCTAGTGTAAGGGTGAAGAAAGAGGGTGAGGGAGGAAGTAATGAAAAATAAGAAAAACCGCTGCACTAGAAGCGAAATTCAAAGTAAAACGATGCCGGGAAGCACAGGGTCTGGTGCTTACAGCTCAACCAGCATTCCCACAGCTTTTGGTTTTCCTTTTGTAGAGCTGGGAGCTGAGCCCTAGGTAAAGCAGGGGAGCCCAAAGCTTCGAGAAACCTCGTGGTCCCTGGCCACAGGACAATCTGCATGGCAGGTCTGTCCCAGAGTTGCATACCCTGAGAGTTCAGGCTTCCAGGCAGCCCACCAGGCGAGCTGGCAGGAAACCAACCTGGAGCCTTGCCTGTGCTGTGTTGGAAGTTCATTGAATCCGATATGTCTCCCTGAAGCATTTCAGTTCTGATGAATTGGGGTTTTCCAGTGAAAACCTGTTTTGTTGCTAAATTCCTCACCAGCTGTGGCCCTGGATGGCATGCAGTTCTTGCACCCTGCACTTGCAGGTACTTCGTCATGGTTGTGGTTGGGATGGTGTTGAGTCCTTGTTTAAAATTTGTATGTTATAAAGACGAGAGACCTGAAGGTCGCAGGGCGGCTCTTACTTATCTGTCCCTCTAGCGCATAAGCATTTTTTGTTGCTGCTTCTGTGCCGATCTCTTGCATGAAGCTGCTTTGCTGAGGTTTTCTGTATCACTTTGGCAGAAAATCTTTAGGGAAGAGTGATCTGTCAGTTCTCAAGAATGCCTTACGATGAAAAATCAGGCAGAACAATTGACGGGAGTTCCCAGCATGGGGAACTCAGTGTGTGATGTGCATAAATCCAGAAGGATTTTTTAAAAATGCAGTAAAGCACACACTGTGCCAAGTTAAGAAATCAAGTAACAAGCTGGTTAGGCATCCTTCAAAGGAAAAGGGAAATGGGAAAACACTAAAAAGTAACTCAGAGAATATTCCTTTTCTATATATCCTCAGATGGGATAGATGCTGCATCCTTTGGCTTCACATCTTTTGAATTCTGATCTTTATCCAAATTCATGGGAAACTCATCCATTTGGGTGGAGGGAAGGAAGGGGGGGTATAGGGACCAAGAAACTCTTCCAAACAACTTCTGTCTGCCACGGAGACCATTTCAAATATTGCTCCGTAGCATAATCCTGTCTGTCACAGCTTGTTGTTTTACAGAAACCAACTGAATTTTCTCCTTGTGGACAAACAAAAGGACATACACACTGCGCAGTGTGATCAGGCTCCAACAAAATTATCATATGTGTAGGAATAAATACCCTTCCTCATTAACTCAAAATAAAATAAGTTCTGTTATGGACAGAAACCTTTAGGCTGTCAAACAAAGCTAGAAGTTACCCCCCCATCTCAGCAATTACAGCAGAATATAGTGTCATTAAATAATACCCAGCTAGAGGAAAGTACATCCTTTTATGATAGTTAAGCTGCAAATCTCTTAAGTCAAATCTGGTAATCAAAGCAGGACTCTCTAGATTTAAAAATATTCATTTTTATATGCTGAGAGGAAAAGTAATAATTTTACACTGTTCTTGTCTGCAGATCTAGGTATGATCTCTCTGCATACCTAGAGATCACAGAGCTACACGTAACAAGGAAATTAACTCTCACAAATGACACACAAATATTGAGCATAATTTTAGAGTTAACTTTTGGTAATGAATGTGAGTGATTTCACTGAAAGTCACTAAGTTTTGGCTTGAGGAAAAAAAAAAGTCGTAAAAGGAAAATTAAGATAGTATCATTAGCCATTTTTTTGTGACAACTTAAAGTTAGCAGCTTCCAAGGGAACTCATTTGGGGAAGAAATTGAACGCTGCCTTAAAAAATGGAGTTATTTTCTGAAGAGAACTGCCTGGGAATTTGGATCTTGACGTTTCAAGCTCTGAGAAAGTTTATATGATCCTCAAGTCTGAAGAAATCGTAGTTTATAAGTTCATAGCTAGTTTTTTCTTAATGCCTGCTCAGCAATATTAATCTGGTGTCTGCAAATCAAGCTGTGTTTTGTTTTGTTCAACGTTGTCAGAAGCAAAGACAGCTGGAATTTGAATTTGGTCAGCAGTGATAATGTATGAAGCAGCTTAAAAGGCAGCTTTCCCCCTTGCCACTGTGCTGGCCTTGTTAACAATTGCAGTCTTGCACAATTTTTCAGCTGGCTGGGTGTAAAGTGCCTTTGGAGGAGGACAAAGTGGTCCTGTCCATGCTGGGTTTATTAGATAATTTGAAACTGCTTTCAGACATGGTCAGCTAAGGGCATATTTGTGCCATCACAGCTAATCAGTAGTGATAAGAAAACATGATCCAACACACCATAGTGCCCAGTGATGCAGAATTGTCTGCACAACCTTACCGGGTAAATTGTTCCCAAAACTCTTGGTGACAGAGTGTAAACCATGCAAGCGACAGGACAGTATGTACTGATGGCAAAGCACCCCTCCTATATCCATACTTGCCATTTGAGCCTCACCCTGTTTCTCTGCGGTGTGAGTAGCAATTGTCGTAGGAGACAATGGGATGTGTTGCTGAAGGAAGGGTTCCAGCTTTGAACTGAGTCACTGGTATGTTAATTACTTACATGAGGATAGGGCAGGATTTGGATCACATAGTGACAAGCACTGATTTACAAGAGGAAAGGGTGGTGCTAAGCCAGCCCACACAGCAAATGTAGAAAACTGGAGCGAAGCCTGGTCCTGCACCGTGGAGTGACACTGTTTGGTATTCTTGGCCAGGCAGGAAGAAGAGGGTAAAATCTGAACTATCCTGTTTAAAAGCAGGTTCCTGTGTTTATCCTTAACTAACCGCTGCATGCAGGTACTTTATGGGAATATATTAATGTCAGCAAAATGATTTGTGAACTTCAGATGCAGGGTTACTAGAGAGATGTGTAGCAATAGCATTCATCAGACACTAGCAATAATTAAAAGCAAGGCTATTCTGGGGTAGAAGTTAAGCAGTGGTGATTCTTGATGTTGTTTTTATCCCATGTGATAACAAAATTGCTTTCCTTTATGAGACACATGTTTACTCCTAAAAGGATGAAATTCATTTAGTTTGCAATCACCCAGGTGAAAACTAGTTTAGTCTCTACCTTATCACTGGGCCCTCTCGATGATCACTGGAAACAGAAAGGCACTCAGAAGGTAGTTTATTCCCTTTGCATTGGACACCCATGTTGTGACCCAGAGCTGCGTATTTCTCTCCATCAAAGAGAGGACCCAGACAGGTGGCTTGAGGTAGACACCTAGCTTTTAGATGAGTGCAGACAGATAAAATGGATTTCATACACAGAAAGCAATTTCAATTTTGATGTACTAGCAGTTCAAAGCCTTACTGTGAAACAGATTGTAGCAGAGCACTTACATCCCAGCCACATGATGAGTATTAGGTGTTTACCATCACCCTTCAGTGTTGCTGGATTAGGAATACAACTTCAAAAGGTTGATAATTAACACCTTTCAAATGAACAGTTTGAATCCAGTTCAGAATTCTTTCTTACAACAGTTCTACCCATCTGATGTATCTGTGTGGCCATCTTTTTAACTCTCTTTATCTACACAAAATAAGGGACTTTTGGTAGGACAATTGCATTCACCCAAATAAGTGGTGTCAGGCAAGCAAAGGGTGTTTTACATAGAGTGGTAACTGGTAGAGTCTCATGGGGCATGGACACTTGTAGCCCATGACGTGTGCAATGGGTGACAATGGCTAAAATTCTGGGCTGCCTGGGAAATCAGCTAGAAAATTGCCCTAGCAAATTCAGTTTGCAGAATTTTGCAAGAGCCTACTTTCAGTGTTGAGAGTAGTTCTGCCTTGGCTCCGACTTTTTTAGGAAAACACCACTCATTATCAAAGAGGAACAAAAATAAACAGACAGACATGAGTGTATTGCAATTGACTGTGATTTAAGAAATGCTACACTTGCCAGAGATGCTTACTGGGAGGTATATAGAAATCTAACAATATTATCAGAAGAAAGCCAATGGCTTTGTTTAGGTTTCCATGAGCACTGTTTCACAAATATGAGGCACAGTCTGCTATCCTCAGTTTGTTCTTCTCTTTTTGTGCATGTTTTTGCCCCATCTCTTTATTAGGCTTGGAAATCTCGTGGGATGGAGACAGTTTCGTGGAAGTCATGGCTGCACCGCATCTGAAGGGCAAACTCTGTGGTTTGTGTGGCAATTACAACGGGCACAAGCGAGATGACCTGATTGGGGGGGACGGCAATTTTAAGTTCGACGTGGATGACTTTGCCGAATCCTGGCGTGTGGAGTCCAATGAGTTCTGCAGCCACCCACAGAGAAAACCTGTGCCCGAGCTCTGTCATGGGACAGTCAGGGTGAAACTCCGAGCTCACCGGGAATGCCAGAAATTAAAAGCGTGGGAGTTTCAGACCTGTCATTCAACAGTGGATTATACGACATTTTACCGGTAAGTGCGGCTTGCTGTGATGGGAGATAGTAAGTTACTGTGCAAGGAGAAAAAACACAGAGTTGGCCCAATTTCAGTAACGTTCGAGCACATGCTTTGGGCTGCTTTTGCTAAGAATTAATATACAGGCTTAGAGTTATGTTATGATGAGGTTTTCCAAGTCAGGAATCAGAAGAAGATGAGTCCTGAGTTAATAAGGACCCAAGCAGCCAACACTGAGAAGACAGGCAGGTTTGTGCCCACCTAGAGGAAAAGTTCTTTTGGAGACTGAGGAGAGAGGGGCAAGAGACTTCAAAACATTTTGGTAAGCTCTTTCTGATTTCAAAGTCTGCTGTAAAGTTGAGGCTGATTTTAACTACTGTTGCTCATCGCCCAGAGAAGTGTGTCTTCCCAGAAGCATTTTGAAAATTACTTTATTAAAGCAGCCATGTTAAATGTTGCTAGTGCCTGTTGGATGGTGTAGTTTGTGGGGTGCGAGTTTGCACGGAGAGAGTTAACAAAAAAATGAGTGCGTGCCCATCCTGCCCTGGGAGTGAAGGAAGACAGATGAGGATCTAGAAGCCTTGTCTGAGTGGATTATTTAAGATTTTTTTATCTTTAAAATGCTTCCAGTCTGAACCACAGAGACATAATTTCTGCTCTTTAATTGGCATGAGTTTATTTGCCCCTCTTTCAGTAAATAAAATTGGTTTTTCTTTTGATTGCCTGACATAGAAGATAAAAGCAAGCTGAGTTACGGTTGTATGATGGTGGATGGAGCTGCCTGGTGTCTGCGCTCCCAGCTTTCCCCACTTGCGCACATCTGCTGAACTATTGGGCTTATTAGGAAAAGCTTTCTAAAATAACTCAATTTCCCTTATGAATTGCCTTTCCTCTTCTTTTGTAATGAGACAGAAAGACTTTTATCTACCCCAGCAGAATACGTCTGGGACTGGGAAAAACTAGAAAACGACACATGGCTTGGCTTGTAGTCTGTGTGCTTCTACATATAGTTTACTCTCATGTATCCCCATGGTAGAGGCCTGGCAAAGAGTGAAGATTGTATTGTGTGCAGGTTATAATACTTTATCTTTTCCAATGGCTGGAGGCAGAGCAGAGAGCACAAGAGATGCTAACACACACACACACACACACACAGCGTCTGTTGAATGCATTTCAGCAACATTCCCATCTCACTTCCATCGTCTTCTAAAGGTAAGTGATGACAATGCAAATGGAAAACAGGCACAGAGAGATTTGTTTCATTTTGCAGTGGATTTTTTTTCCTTTTTAAAAGTAGCTCATGATTAATTTAGTGCAATATACTTCCTGACACCACAGCAGAAAATGATTTATATTTTGGCTGTAGCAGCCAGAAAAAAAAAAAATCTCTACATGCTTGCACACAAGAATTACTGTAGAAATTTTCTGTTTCTTTAAAATATCTTCTATTTGTCCTGGAAAGAAAATGAAATCAAGCAAGTATTTAGTTTGATTATGTGCTTTTATAGAAAAGTCTATTTTTCCCTAAGGAAACTTTAAGTTGAAATGATGATGATATTCTATCAGAAGTAGCCATTCGCTTGGTTCTGTTTAGATGTTGCCACTTGTCAGCATGCTCAGCTCCCAGTATAACCAAAGATAAAATATAAATTAAAATGAAATAATGGTATTTAGTAGGAACTGACAAAGTTGTAGCAAGCAATTTACTCAACAATCATGGCCCTTTTTCATACTAGGAAATTCCCACAAGGATGTAATGATTATAGGACACACATTCAAGAAAGTTCTGGGAACCTTTCTAGCATAAATCGTTGCATATATATATACATATATGTGTGTATATCTAAGTATAAATATCACTACTTAAGAGATTTACTTTTCTCATGAATTTATTTCAAAGAACCCATTGCTGGTGATGTACTTCTGCTGAAAAATTAAATTACCATTGAAAGAAATTTAACTTAACATTTCAAGCTTTTTACTGAGGTCTTTTAGAGAAGCATGTGTAGTTGATGTTTTCTAATTTCAGGCTAGGTTTAAGCAAAACTTTTCCAATTCTGCTGTTCTGACTATGAATAAGCTCCTAGTAATAAGAGAATTGAAGAGGCAGAATGATAGGGTCAGATTCTTCCATTTTTCTATTCACCTTCTTTTTGAATTGAATAGCTTCTCAGTTTTCGTCCTCCAATATTAAATATTAGGGAATTTTTCCATTTGAAATACTGCATTCTTAAGAGTTAACCTTTCTTGGTGATTCTTGCCTGTATTATCAACATTGCCTCATTTTCATTGTGCTGCTCTGGTAGTGACCTGCTGTTAATAAGAATTCTCAGAAATAGAAATAAACTCAGCAATGAATTAGGGAATTTTCTCCAAATTCCAAAAAAGGCAGCGAACAATGCATTGCAAACATTTGTCTGACATTGTGTTACTGAGGAGATTTCTGTGAAGACGTCTCAAGTTCATTTTAAGTCCCATTCTTTTTACAGCTGTAGCTTCTCTTTTTGTTAGCCATCCAAAAAACATATACAGAAAGGCTGTCTTGATTGTTAGGTGAAAGACGTATGGTTAATGTTTTAAAAAGCAGAGATCTAGCTGCATGGTTGTGGGGAGAAGAACAGCTAACTCCTGAGCTTGACATTTACAGATCCATGACACGTTAGGAGAAATGGTTGTGCACCTTAGACTTAACCTTTTTTTGATGTTGTAGCTTTGGTCACCACAATATATGCGCACAAGAAAGGATTTTGAAATAATCCAGACTGCAGACTAACAATTTTAGCATCTAATTTTATGCTACTCTCTTAATTCCTTGTTTTGTAGCTAGACACGTTTTATGGGGTTTTAATTGCGGTTTGTCTTGTTTAGCTTTGGACTGGTATTTTTTGTTTGTCTTTAATGCATTGCTAGTTGTTCAGTACTCATGACTAATACTCTAAAAATAACCCTTAGGGCTGAACTTTATGGAGGCAAGTTCATTAAGCAGGGAAATGATTCTGAATTTCCCGGAGATTTTGGTAAAGTCTGGGTGAAGAAGAGATTAGCAGTGACAGTCATTGCTGTTTTGATAGTGTAATACGGCTAAGCATCCCAGATTACTCCTCGCCAAATGAAAGCAAAAGTGACCAGAGTTACTCAGTAGCAGGCTTTTAGAGTGGATATTTTAACCATTTATGAAATAAAGTTTGCAATTGGACTCCTGAAGCTGCTCTTGAGTATAAGCAGCACTAAAAATACTGATACCATCTGAATTTATCATGCTGCTTATATCAGAAAAAGCTCTATCACATTATCAAACAGGGGTGTGGGGACAACAGCGAGGGAGACACAGCACCGCTGCTCCACACAGGGACAAGTAGGGCTGCAGAAGACACTATGAAAGAAGGCAAATGACTTATACTACTGTAACACCTGCCCTCATTAGCATCTGTGGCTTTCTAGTAGGATTTGGGTTTTTTAATAGCTTGGTATCACCAACAGATTTGGAACGTGACATGACATCAGTATATCACCCGTCTCTAACACACCCACAGAGCAGCTGAATTCGTGAATGACTAGTTACACATTGCTCAAGACTCTCACTACTGCTGTAACTTTGGAAAAATATTCAATGCTCCTAGCTCTTAAGAAAAGTCTTTTTATTGTTATTGCTCTTCCTATTATTACGATATTTTTGTTATTGTTGCTATTATTATATTTTTAACAGACAACAATGTACCAAATAATTAGTTCCTCTTCTTCTTTTTTGTAATTGTCCTAAGAGGTATGTTTTTCTCTCAAACACTTGAATTTAATCATATTCAATATTTTATGGCAAGCACTAATTAACATAGTAATAGCCTCGTCTGTTTATATCTGTTAATCAAGTACATTCAGGAATCTACTTTATCACAATTATTGTCTTAAATGTTCCTTGTGACTGTGCTGACATTACTTTGTCTTAGCTCTTGGTTAATCAGTTCGTGAATTTCTGTGTCAATTAACCAATTAACTTTATGCATTTAACTACTGCAATCTTGCAGTTTTTCTGAAATTTTCCACTTAACTAGGGAAAATATTATTGTTAGGAGGATAAATTGCAGTGTTGTGCAGTCCATCAGCTCGCTATTATTAAGTTTAACAGATATGCCATGAATGGGAGCCATAACATTGCTAAGTTAACTACGAGCTCTGTTTAAAAGATGGGGACCAAGGGTTTGTGGCTTTGAAGCAGAAAGTTTGAAGATTTTTTTCCCCCCATTAAAAACAATGCCCTACAGTTGTAAAATTCATGTGATTATGTCCCTATGTTCATTCAGCAAGATGGTGCAAAAGAAATGCAGGCTGAAGAATGACTTCAGAGAAGCCTGTTTCAGGTCTTAAGGGAATGGGTGGAATCGAGATCTCTGGAGCCCTCTGTTTACTGCCAAGGGTACGTATTGCAAAATTCTCCCCACGAGGTTTTCTGGTCCTGGCTATGCATGTGGGCACAGTGGTTGCCTGAGTTGCTTCAGCGAAGGCCAGGTTGCTCCAGGGCTTATCCGTAGTGTGACCGAAGGGCGGCTGTAGCCATGACTGCTCATCAGTGTGACTTCTGTCCTGGCCTCTGCACCAGCCTCCACATCTGCCTCTCCACCACAGGGGAGAGCTGACCTGTCCCCCCACTTCAAGCCAAACCAGCGGTGTTGGCTCAAAAAAAGGACCGATGGCATGAAGCCATGGCTGATCTCCTCGCAGACCCAGCACAGAGCAAAGACTGTTACTCACACTCCTTCTTGTGTGAAGGTAGGGATGTTTCTGCGCCAGTCAGACCCACCTGCCTGAAGCTGGCCCTGAGTGTGGGTACTAGCAGTGATGCAAGCACAACAGAGAAGAGCTCAGAATGAAACAGTTTACTCAGCTTCTTGGACAAATTGTCACTGAGCAGTTAGTATGACCCAGGGAGCTTCTGGTTAGAAAGGAATTTAAAAATACTTGAAATAATAATTGTGGGGTTTTAAGCAAATCTGCCCCAGGACTTGAGTTTCCCATGAGCTAGA